CTTCCCCTTTTCCCTAGTAGCTTGTGTCTTGAGGTTTATCAAACACAAGGCTATGTTCACTTGCTTCCAGGTCTTGTTTCTCTGTCCTGTTCCTGATTAACTTTTGATTTCTTAATCAGTATCAAAAACTCTGAATGACAATTGCTCAGTAATGCAGTTTGGAGAGGCTGCAGAGCATAGAGAGGTTTAGCTTTAGTGTCAGAAAGACCTCTTTTATACTCCTGCCTCTGACATATACCAATTATGTCATCATGAGAAATTCATTTAACCTCTCAGCACCCTGGGGAAATCTCTAAGATTATAATTATAGCATCCAATGTGTGTGTATATGTGTATGTATATAGATACACACACATACATACACATTTGTGCATTTACCTGTATGCATATATATCCAATATGAAATGTGTGAATATATTTATATACATATGTGTACTGAAATACATTTATCAAGCTGATTATATGTTGCATGTGTCTATATGGATATATTTTCCTCCAGAATTATGATGTTATATGGAAGTCAGCTTTCAGTACAGAACCTCACTCAGCTAATAGATTGACAACTCAACACAGTCATAAACATGTGAGCAAAGGTATCTTTTGAAATCTGTTACTACTAGACTCCATACTTTTTTCATTTTTTCCCATGATCCTGATCTTTTGTTCTTTAGATGGCTTATGTTATTATTATATAAATGAACCCTTATAGTTTGATTTATGTAGTACCAAATGTGTAGGTTAATTTTGGTAATATTTTTATTATGTTAGTGCAGTTCACCATGAACAATGAATCTCTGATTATTAAGAGAATAATTCCTCTACTTCTGTAAAAGAATATTATCTAGTCGAATTTATATAAATCCTGAATATGTCTTGGGAAATTGAAACCAAGAATTGGTATAAATGTTTAAAACCAAAAAAAAAGAAAAAAGAAAATTGTATCATGTTTTTAACATCAAGGATTTTTTTTTCTTTAACATGTTATTCAATTCAATTTAATCTTTATGAAGTATCTGTTCTGTATACTCTTCTATGATGTATGCAGAACTAAAAAGATTGAGAAGATACAAGCCTCTGCTTTTGACATAGATATACTTTAATCTCTTAGAATTCAAAAATATACATACCTAAAATGATGAGAAGAATCTGTCTTCTCAATATTGAAGTAAATCTTATGACTAATAATTTTATGAATATTTACATGTTGATTCAAACACATTTTGATGTTAGTAAAGAGAGATGCTCTTTATGTTCCATCATTAGTAATAGCTTATTTATAAAATATGTATTAATTCATTTATTAAAATTATTTATTTATTCTTATTTTCCATCCAAGTTAGCAGTTCGTAATTTATGAAATGTTCATTTATTCATTCATTAAAGTTGATTCACCTGATCGTGTCATGTCCTTTTCTTAATTACTATGGGCATAGAATATACAAGTGTGCTTGGTACTCATATTCATTGTGTTTTGTAGGTATGAGAAAAATATTTTATGTAGGAAGAATTGCATTTTAATATCTATTGAATATGAAAGCATTGATAGACAGAAATCCAAAAAAAGACTTTTTATTGTTTTATTTTGTCTTTTGTCTATTTTAGATTCAATTTTCTATAAAAGTGAAGCTTATTTATACTCCCTTTCTCTCACTGTATCATTAGAGGGCTCTTATCCTATAGAGATGATATTCACATGTTACATCAAGATATAAAATGTTTTTTGATTTGTGGCTATGAAGCAGCCTTTATACTCATTTCTATGGAGATTTTTCAGTGAATATATCCTGATCCTATTATGTTCAAAATTTCAATTATATTAGAATATTCAGTGATGTGTACAGTCCCCTTAGATTTGTAAAATTCATTTTTATTATCAAATGACATTTTCCAAGATTTAGTTACCCATTTTTTTCAGGTTTATTTTTAACACATTAAAATGAGGGTACCAGTGAGCTATGGAATGGTATGATTAATGATGACTCACATATATTTAGCTTATATAGCTTTTCTCCACAGTGTATTTCTTTCAAGGACACATGGTTACATAAATAAAATACTTCAAGTGGCCCCAGGTAATTTTTTTTAACTCCACTATAGACTGTGTAATGTTGGATGACTCAGACATAAAGTCATCTGCCACCTCTCCCCTTTCAGCAAATAATTTTGTTTTCCAAATTACTAAGAAAATGAAACCACTTGTGAATTCCTCCATTTCCCCAAGTCCATATAACCAAAACTGTATAATGAATTTTTCATGCTCATTCAAGTTAATATCATCTTCTAGGACTGCTTCCTGAATTACATAATTTTTAAAGTTATCTTGTTATCTAAACACATAAAGATTCATTACTGTAAAACAGCATAAATAGCAATAGTTCCCTTTTATACTGCTACATATCTATATGTCTGTATGATCTTATTAAATTGTCACAATAGTAGGAGAGCTTAGTCGGGTATAATGCCAGTTTTATAGATTAGAAAATTCAATATCAGGTAGCTAGTTAATGACAAGACCTTAACTAACTTCCTTCTAGCTTTATCCCAGAATTGATTATAATTTCAACACTAGGTAGATTTTTATAAGCATGTGGTATATGTTATTTGTCATATCCCCCATTAGAATTTGAGCTTCTTGAGGGTTTTTGTTGTTCAGTTGTTTTTCAGTCATGTCTGACTGTATGATCCCATTTGGGGTTTTCTTGGAAAAGATCCTGGAGTGGTTTACCATTTCTTTCTTCAGCTCATTTTACAGATGAGGAAACTGAGGCAAACAAGGTTAAGTAACTTGCCCAGGGTCACACAGATAGTAATATCTGAGGCCAGATTTGAAATCGGAAAGATGAGTCTTCCTGACACCAAAGCCAGCACTCTGCCACCTAGCTGCCCTTCTAGGGTAGGGACTGTGTTTTTGGCTTTTTTTTTAAATCCCTACTGCTTATCACAGTGCCTACCACATAGCATGTAGTTAATAATCTTTGTTAGATGACAAACTGGTTAATGGAGCTTCCATAAACTAAATGCCACAGGATATAACTTGGAAAATAAAGAAGCGGGCAAGTTGTTGTTGTTGTTGTTGTTGTTGTTGTTGTTCCTGTTGTTCTGTAGTATTTTTACAGTTGTAGAAGGAACAGTTTGGTGAAATCTATTGACACAGCTGAATGTTGTTAAATGTGTAACAAAAAATGTATAGGATTACATGAGTAGAGAGAAGAAGGGGGGTTGGAACATGTCACAGAAGTAGCACTTCTGTGTTAAAAAGAATAGGCCTTTCATATAGTTGGGGAAATGGTGAATCATTATCCTAGTTTTTTTAATTATTCTTCTTATAATTTTACTAATGATAATGAAAAAATACTTTTCTGTTTTGATCAGATGATATATATACTTTGTATTATGTTAGATAAGAGGTTTTGGAAAATTAGTTTCACATTTGGGAAGAAATTCTTGCTGAGAAAAAGGAAAGGAGAAATGTGAAGCTGTTTCATTACCCATCGAATGTGTTCCTAAAGAAATGTGATAATATAATTTCCATATTATAATAGCATAATAATAAATCTTTTGCTGACCAAAAACACATATTGTATCTTATGTATTCACTGTGTTGTACTTTTCTTTTTTTGGGGGGATAGTTGTTAGTTTTTATAATATTTTCTCATTTTGTATGTGCTGTTAGCAACTTGGGACTACTGAAACAAATATAAGGCCTATTAGAGGATAAAGTTTCCTTGTGTGAGTTTTAATAAAATTATGAGTTTTACTATCAACATTTTGTTTTGATGACTGTGGTTGTGTGGGATTTTCTTTCCAATTTATTGTAGTGAGAAAATAATAGTTATTTGCAATGAGTAATGTGTTTTCCAACACATAGCTGGCTGTTACCCATACCCAGAATTCTCTCTCAAATTCTCTGCCTCCTGACTTCACTGGATTATTTCAAGTCTTAGCTAATATTTCATCAAGAATCCACTCCCAGTCCTCCTTAATGTTAATACCATTCTTCTGAGATTGACAATTTGTAAAATAGACACATGGGAAGACAGACAGATATTTAGGTAAAACATAATTGTGTATGTGTTACCTTCCCTCATTAGATTATAAGTTCTTTGAGGTCAAAGACTGCTTTTCATTTCTTTCTTGCTCCAATACTCAATACAGCGTCTGCTACATAGTAAGCACTTAATCAATATTTGGTGGCTTGAGTTCATTACATTCCTAATGTTTAACGGTTCAATTCTTCCTTTTTTAGTGAATGGGAGTGCTGGGTGGGTAGAAGAGATGATAAGGGATTTCACATGGACTCTTCTGAAGTTTCCCCAAATCAGATAATACAACAACAAAACGTCATTCTTTTGATGACTAGATGATGTATAGAATTTTGACACTTCTAGAATACATTGACTTTGTTAATAGTATAACCTGCGATTATGAATAAGTATATGAGCATCTCTAAAACAGACAGTACTGGATTGTTAACAGTGACTGATCTGAAGTCACACATGTAGTTTCATCACATAAAGAGTTCTGTCCTGGAAGGGTTTAGGGTGAGGTTCCAATACCGCATGATAAAGCAGCCGGGGCACCAAGGAATACTTACATTGTACTTACACATCCCTGTGTCTCAGGGAAGACTGGTGTTGGTTGTACTTTGTTGAAACCAAAAAAGGACTGATAGGTATTTTTATAGCATTTTCTTCATATCTGCTGGAATACAATGTATGTTTGTTGCTATCTGACAGACTTGGGCCTCCACAAGAAAGGACAAAAGTTTGTATGCCCAGCCAGATATCCTTATGTGGTATGGTAAGTTGATGAGACCAGATCTAATGGTTTTCTCATGCTGTGCAATGGCTTTGATAAATATTATTCCAGAAACCACTGAGTTGAGATTCTCTGGAAGTGTGTGCTGAGTTGCTTACATTTAGGAAAAGAAATATTTCTTAAGGAATACATGCTAGAAGTATGAAAGTTATCTAAACCTATTCCTTTCCTTGTTTTCCTAGGAATGCAAGTGTTAGAATGGAATGGAATTCCCCTGACTTCTAAAACCTATGAAGAAGTCCAGAGTATCATTAATCAACAAAGTGGGGAAGCAGAAATATGTGTAAGACTGTGAGTTTTTCCCCACCTTTATGTTTCCATTTTTTTTTGGCTTTTCATGTCTTATTTTTCTTTAAAGTTGTTAAGGTGGAAACTTTTGCCAGTTCGTAGAATTTGTCTGTATTTACATGTAATTAGAAAATAAAGCTGTAGTTGTTTCTTGTGTCTGTTATAAAACAAAAGCTCTTTAGCATAGAGAAAATGAATTCAATTTTATTTGCAACAAAATGTCAAACAGTTCTTCCCTTTTATGTCTTCTATTAAACATGCTTCATTTAGATGAAGGTTATAACTCATAATCCATGAGAAATGTCCATCTAGGTTCCAATTAGTGCAAATAATGAATCTCATTTAATTATCAGCACTATCAAATCCACACTGCACATTTCTGTTTGGGAGACAACAAGTGACTATATTTTACATAATTATAGCTTCAAACAGTGTGAATTTGAATATATGCCATCCCTACAGGGGATTTATTATTCACACTAATTTTGACCTAGCAATATTTGCAACATTTCAATATGAACTTGCATTTATTCCATTAAAGATTTCACCTTAAAGAATCATTTTATCAGCTACTTGACTTTTTTTAACAGCACTGCAAATATGTATTAATTACAGAAGGGAGTTATGCTTGGGAGTTGCTTTATATATCATTGATCACTTTTCATTTATCTACCTAAAGAAAAGACTGTGGTGACAAGGAGGAAGGGCCTTTTGTCTCAGGCTTCTTTTGCTTTCCTTAGGGATATCAACATGCTCTCCGATTCTGAGAATCCCCAGCATCTGGAACTACATGAACCACCAAAGGCTGGTAGGTGAAAATGGTATATTTCCAATTGCCTAGAAACCAAATCCCTTAAATATAAAAAGGTGGAACAGATTTAGTTTCATCGGAATGGGGATTGGACCTATGATTTCATAGAGGGATTTCTTAGATGAGGACAGTCACTCTACCAATGCAAGTGAGCATCTTCTCTGAAATTTATAATCTTTGGGAGTTGTCTGGAGAACTGAGAGTTTAAGTGATTTACCCAGGGTCACATAGCCAGTAGGTTTGGCAGAGGTAGGACTTGAACCTTGGTCTTCGAGGCTCCAAGGCCATTTCTCTATCTATTACACCATCCAACCTCTCTTTAGACTCATAATAAAACCAAAATCACATACAGCATGTTTCCAGGGGCAAGAAAGAACTACCCCATTGATTCCACATTGTACATTTTCTTCTCTCTTGAAAGGCAGCAGTTTATGTTCATTCCAATTTTCAGTCTCTTTTATACCTTAAACTTCTTTTGAATGCCATAAAATTATTAATTCTCAAGAAGCACATGAAGGGGCAAAGGAGAATGAGAGTAAATTATATGAGAGATATAATTAATTGGTTAACCCACAAGGATTTATTAAGTGCCTACCATGAGTCAGACGCTTTGCTAGCAATGGGCATACTGTGACATATTAAAAAAAAAGTTCAAGAGATATAATTTCTGGGTAATGAATCATTTTATTAATCATGCTAGGAATAATGAATAGAAGAGGATTTTTTGAATACCAAAGACCCATCATGGAATCCACTCAATACTTATATATGCCTTTGGAAGAGTGGATGTTTCTGAGGGTAGCAGTCAACTCTGATTGTTAACAAGTAATGAGAGAATGAATATTATAATGAGGTGGGCTTATTATAATGAGGGTCTGGGGGACATGACTCTGATCACTCAGTCTTGGTCAAAGAGACATAGCTATATTCATATCACCCCATCTAAGGCAATCTAAACAAAAAGGAGAATCCATTTTTTCTCAGACCTTAGTAAAACACAATGGGCCAGAATCCATCAATTCACCTTAATTAAAATTTCTTTACCTTTTGAATAGATCTGAGTTTTTCCTCTCATTATCAGCCCTACAATTCAAAGGCTGCTTGAATAACCTACAGGGGCTGATTTCTGAATGAGGAAGTAGAAGAATTGGAAAAACCATAGGCCCAATTCAATAATTGGTTATTAATATGAGAGAAATGGTCATTTTTCTAAGTACAGCAAAAATGAAAGCATTCCTGACCCCGCAAGGATTATACTATACTAATTTCCTTTTAATCAACTAAAGGTTGACATTTTATCTTTGATACACAGAGTTCTAATAGTGATGGTGTAGAGGATGACACAGAAGCCAATTTCGTTCACATGTACTTAGTACATAAAGCTGTTTTTATCTTATTGCAGTAGACAAAGCAAAATCTCCTGGAGTGGACCCAAAGCAGCTGGCCGCTGAGCTTCAAAAAGTTTCTCTCCAGCAGTCACCATTGGTTCTTTCTTCAGTTGTTGAAAAAGGATCACATCACTCAGGCCCCACATCGAGTGCATCCAGTGCTGTTCCCAGTCCTGGTCAACCAGGATCGCCCTCTGTGAGCAAAAAAAGGCACAGCAGCAAGGTGAGTCATTTCTAAATGTGTTACTAATATGGTGTCTTTTCTCAAGCTCATCTTTAGATCAGGGAAAAACCAATGACAGATGATTTTGTATCCCTAAGCTTTCTGTTCCAGCATCTTCCCTTTCTCTCTGACAACATAATTGCAAAGGAACAAAAATGAAAACCATATTTCTTCCATGCTACAATCATTTCTTATCATAATCTATCCTTTTAATCTAGCAAAGTAAATTTTGCTTGTACAAATATGAAAGTAGAGTGTGCCACATAGATTTTATGTTCATCACAGTTTTAAGTGTGCTTTAAGTGTTCTTCTGAACTTTACAGTAAGACTATTAAGAGACAGAAAAACACCTATGTGACATTAGATAAGTCTTTAAAACCTCTCTCAATCGCAATTTACTCACTAGAAAAATTGGAAAAGGCAGAGGATTGGATGACCTCTAAGATACCTTCCAGCATAATAACAAAGACCCTGTGATCCTAATTCATGTTATATGGTTTATTTTCCAACTGAAGATATGGAGATTACTAAATAAACAGCCATCAACCTACCCCTTTTCACACATAGGAGTGTATTCTTTTCATCTTCCTAAATACCAAATAGGTGAAGTGCTACCCTCCATCCTGGCCTGCTCCACGAATTGTAGCTATGCAAGGCAGTAGATTTCCTAGTAGAAATTTCACTAGTAATGGCCAAAGGCTGCTGTAATCCAAAAAGAAAAGTAGAACAGCACACAATCTTTAGAGCAAGTCTGTACTTACAAAGCAGAAGAGGAGAAAGACCAAATTTTCCAAGAGCAAGTTCTGTAAGGTAAAAATCATGCCCACTTATGAGTAAATGGGCAGGCAAGACTGAAACAAGCAAGAGAATTCTGAAATTTTTGCTCATAGCTCTTGTGCTCAGCTATGCTGAACTCACTAGACACATCCCCAACTACTAAACAGAGTCTATGTATGTGTGTATACACACATATATATGTGTGTATGTATATATATATATATATATATACATACACACAGATACATATTTAGCAGACATTATAGATGTTATATATAATTACTATATGTATGTATATATGTAACCATGTTTATGTACATATCAGATATAGATACATATACATATGTACCTACAAATGTATATACACATGTATGTGTGTGTGTGTGTGTGTGTGTGTGTATATATATATAATATTGTAATATACAAATAATGTATAATTTTCTCAGCCAACAGTCTCTTTCCTTTTCCAGAATTCAAGTTCTTCATATCAAATAGAATCACAGAATATTAGAGTCAGAATGGACTGTCTAGTCCAACTCCCTCCTTTTACAGAGTAGGAGCCTGAGATCCAGAGATGTCAAATAACTAGCCCAAGGTCTCACAGCTACCTTGTTAGATGATAAGAAATATAACCGAATTCTCCTCACTCCCAAAATGGTGTTTTTTGGTTTCTTTTATCGTTAGCCCCTAACATCATTCCTAGTACTTCCCCCTGATATTTCCTTCTATTTATTCTCTCTCTCTCTCTCTCTCTCTCTCTCTCTCTCTCTCTCTCTCTCTCTCTCTCTCTCTCTCTCTCTCTCTCTCTCTCCCACACACACACACACACACACACACACACACACACACACACACACACACACACACACACACACACACACACCCCAGCATGCTGTCTTCCCTATTAGAATGCTAACCCCTAGAGATAGAGATTATGTTTTTGCCTTCCTTTGTATCCCCAACACTTATCACAGTGCCTGGCATATCATAAGGACTTAATAAATGCTATTTAACCAACTGATTATGAAACAGATACTTCTGCTCCATTCCTGTAGAGTCAGAGAGTTTAACATATGAGCCTAGGATTAAGGAGCCCCAGTATCTCCACCCTCATCAAAATAACAGTCTCCCTTTGTGCACATAATAATATCACATATTACCTGATTCATCCTGAGAGAATTTTGACAAAATCCTCCACTTTATATCACTTGAAAGAGTTAACCTATAAAATAATCAGCAGGATATGCAAGACTGGACAAGAATATTTGTCTTATTAGCAAACTTGTTGTTGTGACTTCTTAGGAGACTAAATGAAACTGGCATCATGAACAAGGCAGCTAGCATTTTTTTTTCTTTTTGCTAATCAAATTCTTATGTTTTAAATCCTGCTGAAACCATCAACCGTATGCTTTTGCTGAGATTTAATATTACTAAAAGGACTAGGTTCAAGTGAAAAGCTTCTACTATGGTATTAGAACACATTCTTCCTAAAAAGATAATTCTCCAGAACACATGTTCAAACACAGAATTATGTCTTTGCCTAGTTCACAAATTATCTGTTAATCCTTTGAATCTAAGAATGTTAAGAAATATTAGAAATGCCCAGAATTATCCAAAGTGATGGTTGCCTACCTAAGTACATTTTGCATTTACAGAATAAAGTACAAAGATTTTCAATGTCTAGTCACTTACATGTCTAGCTGGTCTTTCTTTTGACAGATGTCATGTGGAGAGTGGAAACAAATGTTCTATAGTTCCTCTGGCAACTAATGAAAGATCAAAGCAGCACAGTGGGATGTTGCTAGATGTATTGATGTACTGTATTTTTGGTTTTGTGCAAGAAATCAGGTGGTGTATGGTTTTCTGTTATTTTTACTGAAATGTCAGGGATAACTTTGAGGCATTTTTTATGCTGGGAAGAATATTTTACTGATGAAACAAGAGAATGTGGATCCATATATATAAAGATGTGATTTAGAAGCTTACTAGCTCTCTTTGACCTTCAGTTTGTTGCATTTCTGTTCCATAGACAATTTTACCTAAAAGACAGTGATCGGGGTCTCTCTGATTACTATCAACTTAGAAAATTTTTGCTTGATAGATGGTAGAAACCTTCAATATTGATGGCATATTTTAAATATACATATATAATACCTACATACATATGTGTGTATATATGTACATATATAAACATATATATATATATATATATATATATATATATGTATAAAGTAGAATCCCAGGATTTCATTTCTAAGTAAATTTTCTAAGATCTGTGGCATTGGACTATGTAGTGACTTAGAAATGATGAATTAGGCCACATTCCACTGTGCAGTATTATTAACATCCAGTAAAATTACACATGTGTGCATAATTGCACATATTTTAAATGTTATAGCCCATTTCTTGGAGAAAATCTGAAGGCCACTTCTTTCATTTTCCTGTCAAGGAGCTCAATTTTCTCTTGCCTTCTTACCTCTCCCCAGCAAGATTAAGGCCAACATATGTTTCTCATATACCTCGAGGAACAAGGAATTCTCATTTACTAGTTTTTGTTTGTATACAGCAGAGAGAGGGAGAAATTGTTTTGTTTTGTTTTGTTCTTAGTAAAAGCATCAGCTTGGAAACAAAAGGCTTTCAACCCCAAACTTATTTGCATTGCTACTGTGATGACAGTAAGAAAAATAAAAGAACTTTTTTCTAAACAGAAAAAGTGTATTAAATCACTTTTAGCTTTATAGTAACTTATCAAGAGAATCATGTGGAATTTAGGTTAAAAATATCCCTCTGCCTAGACTTGAAGTTCTTAAAAGCCATCTCACTATTGATACAAGGAATTCCTTTTTCCCCCTTGCATTCTATCCTGACATTTCCCATCTTCAGAAGTGTGTATTGAAGCATGAAAGAAAAAAAATCTGTACACTCCAACTAGATTTTCTCAAAAAATATGACTTTTACAGCTACCAATAATCAGAGATTCTGCAGAAACTTTCCAAGTCAATTTTTAAATTATTGAAACGGTTGTACATTTGCCAGACTGTCTATACAAGGACTTATACAAAATTTCCTGATTTTTTTGTCTCAATACTCCGTGCTGTCTCACCTATATTCAATTTTTATCTGCAAAAAAAAAATTCATATGGACATTTTTATAGACTTGTACAACAATCTTACTTCCTCACCTCTGCTGCTTCCATAAAGGAGTTTGTTAAAGCCTTCTTTTGGAGAACAGGACTGCTTAACTAAAGAAAAACAGTAATAACTCTACATAACTAGAAGGTTGGGCACCTTGTACATACCTCCTCCCCAATTCTTCCCGTAAAATTAGTTTTTAGAATTCCTAATTGCTTTCAAAGCTCAGCTCAAACACTGCTTTCAACCTAAGGCTTTTCCAATTACTTCAATTGCTAGTGCCTTTCCACTCACAAAATTATCTTGTATTAATTTTTTTCTTCTCTCTCTCTCTCTCTCTATATATATATATATATCTATCTATCTATCTATATATATATAGATAAATATATATAGTGTGTTTATGTATATGTATGTATATATGTGTGTGTGTGTATATATATCTATATCTATATCTATATATATCTATATAGTGTGTGTATGTATATGTATGTATATATGTGTGTGTGTGTATATATATCTATATCTATATATATAGAGATATATATAGATATATCTATATATATATATCTGTAGATAGATATAGATAGAGATATATATGTATTTTCTCCCTAGAGAGGCCAAAGATCCTTGAGATCAGGGATAGTGATGAATCCTCAGTACCTAGTAAAGTGTCTGACACCTAACAAGCCCTTGATTAATGCTTGTTGATTGGCTAACTAAAGAGAATGAGATAATTCTTGATACTTATGCTCCTAGCTCTACACTGACTCAACCAAATCTGTATTGTTGAACAACTGAACAGAGTTCCTTAATCCTTCATTCTACCATTAATTTTCCTTCTGTCACTACCAAATGGGATTCTTTCCCCATTCTTCTCTTCAACATAATAACTCTTCCAAAGGGATTCAGTAAATGAAAGTCTATAATTTCATCATTGAGTCCACTTATTTTGATACATACTTGGATGGATCCATGATTTGCTCAAAGTGGGGACTCATTCTGATTCAGGTCACATCCCTTCCAGGGTGTCTGTGCAATTTTTTTGTTCATATTTATCCTACATGGAAGATTAACCCAATATACTGGAGCCCTACCTTTAATTATTTTAGTGCATGGTGAGGGGGAGGTATTTTTGTACCACTTGAGGTTTCTTAGCACCAAGTCACACATAGCAACACTTAGCAAATGATTGTTGAATTCAATTTGATATACTGAATAAAATAGCAATACCTCAGTACCTTGAAAATCATACTTCATCCCACACACCTTCCTGCTTCATTTAGTTCATTTGTGTTTGTTATTCTTCTTGACTTCATCATGAATGTCATTATGACTTTTTCCCATAACACAGTGTGTCAACTTGGTAGATTCCAATTATGATGCATCCATTATAATTGATAATGAAATTGACTCAGGATTCATTAAAAAAAAACTCTAGTAAATTCTGTTCAATTCTTTTTTGCCCTTCCAGTTTCATCTTTAAATGATTACTAGGATCATTTGATTATGTTGCTGGTTCTCCCACCTAGGTCTCTATAAGCTTGTTTTCTCTTAAACTGCTTTTTGGTGTTTTGTAACTTCTTTTTTAAAATTTTTCTTCTGTGAAGTATTTTGTAAGCCACTTTTCCTTTACACTGGTACAGCCCTTCAGTCTCAATGTTTTGCAAAGATTGCTGATGCTTTTTGAGATAAGCTGCTTTCTGAGGTCTTTTGGACTCTTTATTACAGTGCTGATTTTGTACCAATTAAATTTCTCTGGAAAATGTTAATATTATGTTTTTCTATTTTCCATTTTTATGAGATAAAAGCTGGTTTAAATAGGTTCATTTACAGTTTCTACAATTGCAAACAATGCCTTCCCATCTTTGTCCTTTCTACTAATCTCTAATTTGCCAGTAGTTTAGCTGCGTACAGCCAGCTGATTCCAAAGTTATTGCCATATACATTAAAATCTAATCTTTTTAGATTTTATTGTTCGTCATTATTTGTCACCCATTTTTTTTTATCATCCATTGCTTCCTACAACTTATAAAATATACTCATGATATATTGGAGTGAGGCTTCAGGGTAGCATACAAGCTCTTGGTTTCTTTCATCAAAAAAATTTCACAATTGGAAAGTCTTCTGAAAACAATTAGATAAATCCATATCTGAAAAAGTCTTTCCCTCTACATAGTTCCCTTAAACCTTTGCTTAAATAAATCAAGTAAAGAGGAGGGAATCTACTACCTTACAAGGCAAACAATCCCATTTTTGGATCATTCTAATATTAAAGATGGTTTTCATCATATCAAACCTCAATTTTCCTCAACAAATTTCACACATTACTTCTGTGTAATAGCCCATTAAAGACCTAAAAAAAAGAACTATCATGCCCCACTGCCCAGGTCTTACCTTCTCCAAGTTAAACAGACTAAGTTTCCTCACATGGTCCTCATATAGCATGAACTTCAAGCCCTTCAGTATCCTGGTTTCCCTCTTTTTGAGAGTGTGAGTTTCTCAGCATCCTTTCTAAACTCTGGTGCCCCATACTGAACACAACTCTAGAGGTGATCTTGCAATGCATGTTGTTACCTGGAATCATCACCTTCCACATCCTAGACTCTATATCTCTCATAATGTAGTATAGGATTGCATTAGCTTCCTTGAATGTCATACCAAGCTCTCAATTCATATTAATTGTGAGTCCAATAAGAGCCTTCTCCCAGATGAACTTCTGCCTAGGTATGCTTCCCAATTTTGTATTCACTAAGTTGTTAATAGTTTATTTTCATTATTGGCAACATATTTAGAATTTGAAGTTGATGATTTAGTACAGTGGATCTAAAATAAAATGTATTTATGAAATACCACTAGCTAAATATCCTTTGCAATTTTACCAAACTATATGAATTTTAATATTAATAAGCAGTCTCTTTAAAATATCTAGGTTATATATATATATATATTTATATATATATATACATATATATATATATATGTATATATATATATATGAATGGCCATTGCTACATTCCATTAAAGAAAAATAAAACATCCGTTGATATCTTTTGCTATTGTGTCACTTATATTTTGCAATATTCCTTTGAATAGACATCCCCTGATGCCTGTATTTATATGCATCATTTAAAGTAAAAATTAAAAGGAGGGAAAAGAAAAGCAAATTTAACCAACACATTGGTCAACTCTAACAATATATCCAGTGTTCTACATCCATAGTGTCCCATCTTTCTGAACAGTGATGCATTCTTATGTTTCTTCTTTGGGGCTAATCTTGGTCTTTATCATTTCCACCATTCTGTTTCAGTTGTTTTACTGTTCTTTTTAATTTGTGTTGTCATGGTCATTGTGCATACTGTGTTCTTAGTTCTGCTTATTTCACTTTACATCAACCCATATATCTCCCCGTGCTACTCTGTATTCATCTTATTATCATTTCTAACAACACAGCAATATTTCATTGCATTCACATGTCACATTTTGTTTAGACACTCCCCCATTTATGGACATCTAGTATATTTCAAGCTCTTTGCAACTTCAAAAAAAAATGCTGCTACAAATGATTGGCTGTATATAGGACCTTTCTGCAAAGAAAAAATCAAGTTTCTTTGCATATTGTAGTTTTATAAACACAATTTAATGCCTAAATTCCATTAACGTAATTTATTCAGAAGCAGTATACTTCTAATTTATCACTTGAGATTGCAATGAGTAACAATGTCGTTAATCAGTCTCCCATACCTTAATTTAAGAAAGATCACTTTCAATGCTTACTCCATGATATAATATAAGAGTCCTGAAATTGGTGTCTGAAGAACTAGGTTTGAATTCCAGTTCTTCCATTTACAAAACTTGGATCTTGGGCAAGTCATTCTACCACTATGAACCTCAGTTTCCTGATCTGTAAAGTAGAGATAATGCAGGGTTATTATAAACTTACAAACACAGAAATATGAGCTATTATGTCTGATACCTGACTGATAACAATGTCCTAAAACAGTTATGTTTGATGAAGATAGAAAAGGAGGGAAAGAAAATAAAATTTAGAATATAAGTCATTATTGTAATTTGAATTGTAAATCAAGAGGCCACAGGAGGGCACTGTGTATCAGGACAATGGACATTGTCCACATAGAAGAAAGAAAGAAGCACGCCAAAAACAAAATTTACCTGGCAATTTTGCATCACTTGTCCCTATTCCCTGTCATGAAAGTATCATGTATGAAAATATAACATCCTCATTTCTTTGCAAAGATGGGAAACCATGGGTGGGGAATACTACATATTCTATCAGACTTGACTGATGAGTTCATTTTGCTAAAATGTTCTTCAAAAAAAAATCTTTGCTATAAGGAATGAATATCTTGGAGGGAGGATGATATTTTGAGAAATTGTGGCAATGTAAAAGCCAAAGAAATCATTATAGTTGGGTTTTTTTTAATATAAAAACCTCATGGTTTGCCATTAAGAGTTTTTTATTCCTCTATTTCATATCCAATGTTGGTAAACACAATTTAATGGCTAAATAATATGCCTTCATAGAAATGGTATGTATTTGTGTGTGTGTGTGTGTGTGTGTGTGTGTGTGTATGTGTGTGTATGGTGTGTCTTTTGGAGTATTAAAAAAATATTATTCCTGATGTTAAATCATAACTTTAAAAATTCTTAGCCCTATAAACATTTATTCATGTAGAAATATAATGTAGAGTTGTTCTTTGAAAAGTGTGCATAGAAACCTTATTTGAAACAGGTCAACTGAAAACTGAATGTAATTTATTTTCAAACCAAAATCATATAACCAACAAAATTAATTGAACTTCAGAATGCTAAAAAATTAAATTATGTGAATGTTCTATGTAATAATTTTTGTATATGTTCTTTAATATTACAGCCCACTGATGCAACAAAGTCTGTCCCCCATCCAATTACTGGAGAAATTCAGGTATGAAAATATAAAATAAGTTTATTGTTATGTTTTTGAGTAACTTTTCCCCCACCAGCATTACTGATATTGTGAATCCATGGAGCAGAATCTGTTCTTTTTCTTTATTGCATTAAGAGATGTTTAATTCATGTCTATTTTTACAGAATGCTATTTTATGTGGAAAGAAGTTTTATGAAATAAAAGTGACCATCGTACCCTCTTGTAATAAGGTTTAGAAGACAACCACTAATATTTAACATGATTGTACAGATAATAAAGTTCATTTTCAGGTCTTCTCTCAGCTACTACCTGATCTTCATATTTAGTCTTATCATATAGAGTTCTAGAGCAATACAGGAGTATGTTTAGATATTTCCTTGTTCATTAATTAAATTTCAATTTATGCATCAATCAAACAAGATAAAAGTCACTTAGTTCATCAAATGTTATTTTAAAACCTGGAGAAATCTCTTTTCCCATAGTAGTTGTTTCATGTTTCTTTCTATACCAAAACAATCTAATCTTTTCACTGGATGCTGTTGAGTTTTCCAAATTCATTGGCATATTAAATGCAGCACTTTAACAGCATCTTCTTTTAGATTTTTAAATAGCTCATCTGGAATTCCATCACCTCCACTAGTCATACTGCTAGCAATATTTCCTAAGGCCCATTTGATATCATTCCCTAGGATATCTATATCTAGATCGGTAACCATACCAGCATGTTAAAATCTTTTTTTATACTTCTTTTGTATGTTCTTGCCTCTTCTTATTCTCTTCTATTTCTGTTAAATCCCTACCATTTTTCTCTTTTATCATACCCATTTTTGCATAAAGTGTTCTATTGATATCTCTAATTTTCTTGAAAAGATGTCTTGTCTTTCCCATTTTATTGTTTTCTTCCATTCCTTTGTATTGCTCATTTAAGAAAATGTTATCTCTTGTTATTTGCTAGAATTCTGCATTCACTTGGGCATATCTTTCCCTTTGACCTTTGTATTTCTTCTGCAGGTTAAAAAAATCCTCAATTCCTTCATTTAATCCAGTTTTAATTCCCCTTCTTGTCCTGGTCAGTCTTCCATACATGCATTGCTCCTTGTAAACATCCCCTTGACAAATATGTGTTAAGAAATACACACAATCTCTCTGCGCAGGGAAGATGAGATCCTGAATGCCATGACCTTTGATTTGTACAAAACATTCTATGTATGATCCCATCAGTTGTTTTGGCTGACATATCGCACTACTGGCTTATTCAGCCTGTTGTCCACAATTGGTCTGTTTTATATGAACTGCTATCTGGACACATCACTATCCATTCTATATTTGTATATTTATGACTTGTGTGACTCAAGTAATTGATTTAACTTCTCTGTGTATCAGTTTCTTCTTCTGTAATATGAGAATTAGACATGATGACTTCTATGTTTTTCTTCCAGCTCTAAACATATGATCCTATTAATTCCTAATTTATAGAGGTTATGATACTGCATTATTAATATTATCTATAAAATTCCATCTATTAAGTGTTGTTAGCATTAGCTCACTATTCTAGCCTATAGAGATTTTTTCAATCCTAATTCCTTCATGTCCAAGTTATCCCTACAGGCTGAGTACTATCTATAAGTCTGCTAAGTATGACAACTATATCTTTATTCCAGTGTTAATGATGGAATAGAACAGAAGAAAGTCAAATTATCAAGACTTATTGATAAAATGTTTAATAGAACAACATCTCTCTAGGTTAATATTAATCAATTTATTAATATTTTCTTTGTCTGGTCAGTCACTCAGTTCTGAACATACCTTATTGTATAGTCCATATTTCTCTACATTATTCACATGAGTATTATGACAGCATTTGTCAAATGCTTTACTAAACTTCAAATATTCTAGATCTCCCTCATCTAAAATCTAGTAACACTTTCAAAAATTGCTTGAGTCTGGAATAACTTGTTCTTAAATATAAGTGCTCACAACCTATTCCTTTAATAATCTATCCTAGAATTTTGCCAAAAATCAATGTCAAATTCACTTAGATTTAGTTTAAAGTCAGTAGCAAAATTAATTCAATATCTTACCACCTATAATTACAAAGCACCACTAAATTTGCCATCATTGCTCCATGATCACAGACATTACTCAATCTAAAAGAGTAGTATACACAGTCTAACTGCCTGTTGAATTTTCAAAGTAGTAAAGTTCTCTGTTTAAAGTTTGTGATATTATGTTCATTTTCATACATTTACAGTTTGTGTGGTTTTTTTTACTTAATCAGGAGCAAAGTGTCCAAAAGGAAGAAAACTATGTCTATATGATGCCAAAACAATCAGACAATTTATTAGAAAGATATCAGAGCCAATTAGTTTGCATTTTATTGACTTGGTCATCACTTTGACTTATATCATCATATTTGACTTAATTGGTTTCATTTTTCAATGTATTAGCATTATGAAGATATAATTGAAGTATCATTCAAGACCGTCAATTATAATAGTGTCAAAGTATCACTATTCTGGTTTTTAAGATTAAAAAGACTTTAACAGATTATTTTACCCCAAGCTCTTGTTCTGTTGAAAACTATGGAATGAGAAAAGAGCTGTAAGATTATCATCAGAGAGTTAGCATAACACATAGAAATTCATTAATTGCATGCCTTTTTCACCATACTTATCTTCTTAGCCTGAAGTATCTTTCTCTAAATAGTGTCTATCTCAATACCCTTGGCTAGTCATATAGGGGGGGAAAGCAATTTACTTGTTCTGACAAAGATATCAATTGTATATTTTATTTTGAATGAGCCAATAAGTATTCAAAGAATTAGTCATTATTCTAAATTCTGAAGGCTTATTTTAAAATGAAAATGATATTTCTATAAAGTTTTCTTTTCCTGAAACACATACTAATAGGCCTGCACTTTTTTTCTCCTTTTCAATGAATAGGCAAAGAGAAAAGATTGCATAGTAGAAACAGCACACAATAATAAATATGTAGCTTTGGACCATTTATATTTCTCTTATTCCCATTTTATTCATCTGCAAAAATGAAAGCAGTAATAGGTGCAATTGTCACACAACTGTGTAAACTCTAATGCTACCTTTAACATGATCTAGGAATGAGATAAGCTACTTCAAACAAAGATTAAATCATTCCTTTACAGAGCAGTTATTATTCATTTTAATTAGATGAAAACAAGTACTCCTGTAATCAATAAGAATTTTCTTCTAGAAAATACAACAAATTCAGGTACAAACATTCATTAAGCACCTACTGTGCTAAGTACTGAGGGTGGGAGCTAGGAATGGGCCTTATCCTCAATAAATTTATATAGGAGTAATGATAACAACGGGGCAGCTAGGTGGTGCAGTGCTGGGCCTAGAGTTAAGAAGAATCATCTTCCTGAGTTCAAATCTGGCTTTGGAAATAGTTGTGTGACCCTAGGCAAGTCACTTAACCCTATCTGCTTCAGTTTCCTCTTCTGTAAAATGAGCTGGAGAAGGAAATAGAAAACCCCAAATGGGATCCTGAAGAGTCAGACAACTGAAAAATGAATAACAATAACAACAAAATAAAACTTTTAAAGTTGGCAAAACAGTTCACATATATTATTTCATTCAATTCTTATAATAAACCTGTGAAATAATTATTGTAGGCAACATTTGCCTCATTTGAAAGATGAGGGAACTGAGTCAACTGGAATTTGTTAAATTCCTACAGTGTGCCAAGAGATACAAAGAAACACAAACAAAAACAGTTCCTTCTCTCAAGGACTTCCCAGTATAATGGGACTTTTAACTGAAATTGACAAAGGCTAAGTGACCTGCCCAGGGGCACAAAGCTAAGAGTTATTGCCTTTAAAGTTTGAACTCAGACAAATCCTGATTGTAAGACTGGTGCTCAATCCACTGAGCTCCTGCGTTGCCTTACAATACACATACTGATAATGCAAAATTTTAAATATTAAATGCTTTAGAGAATTGCAAAAGAAAGTGCTCATGCAGTTTTAGTAGGAAGGTCATTATGAGCAGGAGGAATCAGAGAAAGTTTCCTGGAGGAAGTCTTATTTTTCCTGAATGTTGTCAAAAAACCCCAACCTAACCAAATATTGTAATATTCACTATAGCTTCAAATCAATTATGACAAACACCTTGGAAACCTTATCGTACACGTTCTTCAAGCAAGAAACCTTGTGCCCCGAGACAACAATGGATATTCTGATCCTTTTGTTAAAGTGTATCTTCTCCCGGGAAGAGGGTGAGTGCTGAAGAAATTTATTGTAAAAATGCTTATTAACCAACTCATTTAGAAAAGTTGTTCCCCATTAAGAACTTAGGGTCAAAACTTGCCTCTGATGCCTACAGCGTAGGTGACTTTGGGAAAGTCAGTTAACTTTCCTGGGCCTCAGTTTTCTCATGTCTAAAAGGACAGGATTGGACTAGATGGCCTCTGGGCTCTTTGTGATTCTATATCTATAGTCCTATGCTTTGAAAAATACTGATAATATCAACAGTCTTACCATCTAAAGACTTTCCTTTGATCTCCTTCACTTTGCATATATTTACTACAAGTTGATAGACAATTAATATTAATTAGTAATTAATACTCAAAAATTCATGAGCAAATAAGTTCACGAAATAAGTGTTTATTGGAGATCTATTTTGTCATACACACTAAGTCAGTATCAGTTACAATGGGGGAAACTTAACATAGTAAAATTTAAAAATTGATCAAAACTTTGACGGGTATTGGTCTTTTCAAAACAACTTGCAAAACTACACAAATTAATTTTTGAATAGACATGAACACATAACATCATTCAATAGGCATTAAGTATCTGCCAGATTTGTTGCTTATTTAGTTATTTAGTTATCTTTGAAAATTCTAATTTGTCAAGAAAATGACCAAGATTCCTTTTGAACCCCCTAACTACTATGATCTATCAATTGCCTGGTATAATATATGAGCTCTTTGAAGATGCTTAATGTTTGGGTGATGTTTGATAAAGGTTATACTCTGGCCTATAAATATTTTAAAGCTTTTATAAATCTGTTTTTTGTACCTGAGCACTATTAATGGTTTTTCTGGACCATTTACATCAGAGGAATTAAAGTGGTTTAACTACATGGGAGGTAGCAAAGAAGAAAAAAGAGACTTGTCAGACAGGAGTAAAATGAAGTCCAGAAAGCCTAGAGAGGAGACAGTATATAGGAAAAGGTGATCAACAGTTCTGATTGCTACAGAAATGTCAAGGGGATGAAAAGAAAAGGTAACTATATTTGGCAACCAATATTGGTAACTTTGGAGGGGATGGTTTCAGTTGATCAATGATATTGGAAGCTAGATTTTCAAGTTTAGAAGAAAATTAAAGTGGAGGCACCTATTGTAATTGGTGTTTTCAAGATTAGAAGAAATAGGAAGAGATTTCAGGCACTACCTACAGGCAGCTTAGGTGGCAGTGATAATGCTCTGGGCTTGGGATCAGGAAGACCTGAGTTCAAATTTGACCTTAGATACTTACTGGCTATGTGACCCAGCATAAGTCACTTAACCTCTACCTGCCTCAGTTTCCTCAATTGTAAAATGGGGGTAATAATAACACTAATATCACTAATAAGGATTAAATTGAATAATATATGTAAATCCTTTGTCACAGTGCCTTTCACATGGTAAGAGATCAATTAATTTTTTTTTCTTTCCTTCCTTCATGGGGTGGATGGTGGATGGTAGATGGTAGGTGTTAGGATCAGTTGAGGATTTGTTAAAGATGGAGGGAACATGTTTGCAGCATTGAAAAAGCCTATAGATAGGAAGATATTGAGAAGGAAAAGGTGGGGGGGCAGCGTGATAGTAGAGACAATCTGATAGAGAAGATGTCAGAGTAGCTCAGGAAAGGACCACCAGTTTAAGACTAGAGTGAAAGAAGTTGTGTATATGTTGGGGGTAGGGAAAGGATATCTGAATGATCAGAGATGAGGAAGTACGGAAAAGTAGGAGAACTCTCTGTAATTTTGTTTTCTGTGAAATGTGAGGCAAGATATTTAGCTGAAGGGTTGGGAAGCTTTATGGAGAGTGAAGAAAATGAATCTATTGAAGAGGGACTGAATATTTGACATGCTAAAGTGAAGACCCAGTTGAGATGAGATATAAATTTCTAGTGGATCCAGCCAGCATAATTTAATGATTTTCTGTTCAGCAGTATGTGAATAAGTGACAGTAATCAAGGATTCAGATAGCAAGACATGAGCCTGTATTTCCTTTTAAAATAGTTTGGGATAAGTGAACTACCAGCAACCATTAAGGCAGCTGATACAAGGATAAAAGAATGAGCAAAGAGGTGGTGATGGAACAAAAAATAATGTTCTCTGTAGAAATGTCCTTGGGACTGCAGATGTTGTTTCATAGTTATTACAACACTGGACATAAGAAAACACTATGTGTATTTAAGTTTAATGAAGTAGGATGCTCTCAGTTATTTTCTCTTTACTATTGATAAACAAGAGTACTGTTTTTCATTCTATGAGTATATTCTAGAATTCTCAACAAACTGCAGAAAATCTGAAATCTCCACTACCTATGGTAGGGAGTGAAAAGTCTTCAATTAGAAAAGAGATCACAATATGTCAGTATGAGATTTCAGCAGACATTGTACTAGCCATGCTAGGAGCTGCAGGGTGTTATTGAATGGTAATACCTATGAACATTTTGCTGCCTGAACCATTATCCCTGTCTATTAACAGTATTTCAAATTGAAATTTTTGAAAATGTGAATCATGACTATGTCCTAGATCATATTATTTGCATTTTTGAGGTTTTAGTTCCTGCTTCCATATAATGTTAATTTCTGACTCTATAATTATCACATAGTTACTCTCCTATTTATTCATGTTTCTAATTTCTCTCTTTTTACCCCGTTCCTCTTTTCCCACTTCACCATTTTTATGTCCCTTTGGTGAACCCATGCAGCCAAGTCATGGTTGTCCAGAATGCAAGGTAGAGTGCCTTAGCTTTCAGTGTCATGCTTTGAACTGCCTTTGGAGTCGTGTGTGTTTAGTGGATGCATGCAAGCATGATTGCACATGAAATCATTGCAGCTCTAACTGTTCATATTTTTATTCTTTTTATGGCTTGATGACTTGTGAATCTGCCTTTACATGCTAGATATTATTGTACTATTGAAGTTTAATTCAATTTCCCATCACATAATCCTTGTGTAGAGCAAAAAAGAATGTGCACTGGCCCCTAGGTGTTTCTGTATGAATACTGACCCATCATAAAGATAACTTAAATTATCAAATGATTCAAAGAATAAGATTTCATTGAATTCTAAATATTCATGATTTGATCCAATTATACCTCTAAGATATAAATAAACAAAACAAAAGAAATAGGGGCAGCTAGGCGGTGCAGTGATAGAGCACCAGCCCTGGAGTCAGGAGTTCCAAGTTCAAATCTAGCCTCGGACACTTGACGCTTACTAGTTGTGTGACCCTGGCCAAGTCATTTAACCCCATTGCCTAGCAAATAAAAACAAAAAAAAAACAAACAAACAAAAACTAAATATCTCCACTTATGAAAGTTAAAAAAAAACATTTGTGTTGTATTTCAAAACTAAACACACGCATACAGCAGAGATTTTAGATTTAATAACATTCTTCTAATCATATAGGCTGATCCCATAATCATCTCTCAGTGTAAAATCTCCAACAATGGGAAAGCCACAATCAATCAATAATCATTTATTATATTATATCACCCAGAGAAAACTGAAATAGTGGTCTTTATTCTTTGGCATCTGCAGGAATGAGTTTCCAAACTTCATTCCAACATTTATTTTCAATTACCTTTCAATGGATTTAGAAAAGAATCATCATGATGTATCTTTAACCTCCAAATTTCACCTATTTTTTAAAGGTTTTGTTTTGACACCCAAACTGACAGTATGAAGTGGGGAAATTTTTCATTTTACCAACATTTGACTTATATTATGATTGCACTAACCAAATATATTCACAACAGAGAAACACAGAATAAGTAAAAAAAAACATTTTCAATAGTTTCCTTTTGGAAATTGTTTTTAACTTGGAAAAAAAAATTTTAGAAACTATGTTGTGAAATAGACAAATAAAATCAATGAAAACTGCTTGAGCACAAATAGCTTTTTATTACCCATAGACAGTTCAAGGCAATGTATAGAAAATCAATAGAAATATGTAAATACGTGGCAAAATTTTCCTCAACATAATTGAATACAAGATTATTGTAGTAATCTAAAATGAATGAATCAATTGATCTCTCAAGTTATATCCACATATTTGATTACCTGGTTTATGTTACACATGACAGAAAAATAATTACATAATTATTGATTCTATACACAGCATCTGTTATGTCTGTTCAAAATAGTAACGTCATTATTAATATAGTTATTTGAGGATTTAAAATTTTACAAAACTAAAACATACAGAATATAAAGATATAAGAGGGGTTGAAATATGTAGTTATTTAAAACAATGTAAGTGAATGGGATAGACTGAATACTCTGGTCCCCTTTTTATTCATTCAACTTTATTACCAATCTGTGGCATTTCCAATCCATTGAGCTTCCAATTTAATGCAAATGTTAGTTGTCCATTAACCTTTATGAAAGTGGAATTGAATGTGGAAAGAAGGCATTTGCCATTAGATTGGGTCTACATCAGAATTGGATGTGACCAAATTATCTATTATTCTGTCTACCACAATTCTGAAAGCCTCCCTCTTTGCAACCTTCAGACCTTGGTATTTCTGGGTTCCCAGTTACCTGCTCATGGAGGAATGCACACAGGCTATTGCAAAGAGACTCGGTCAATCTTCCTAATTTCTAATTCCTAATTCTAGCCATAGAATGTAATTGCCTCAGGTATTTTTTTTCTTTCCAGTTGCACTTCACCTCCCCCAAACAGAATACAAAATTGATACATGATTTTGACACACATCCCTACCATTGTTCTACCTTCACAGTAGATGGCCTGCCACTCTCCTAGGGGTGTTGTAGCTCTGCCATACCACACCCTCCGTCACCTCCTGTGAACTGGCAGGAGTCTTCTCTAGTTTTTATTTGTTAACATCAGGAAGCTGGATTGCTGGAGGAGCCTAATCTAGCTACATAGCAAAAGGATGGCAGAAACAGCATCATCATTTACACTTCTACAAAAGGCCAACTCGTAATATATGGCTATATAAATTTTTTATGGGAATCGCCCATTTGCATGACAAATTGAATGTACTATTTTGGCAAAGAGGTGAAATGTGTGCCATCAATAGAAATGGGATGACAAGAATTTTAATCCCACCCAAAACAGACCTCCTATGGCATTTGTTTTTGTATGTGGCTTTTTTAATGACATCTCTACTAATCCTGACAAGCTGCTAACATAACAATAATGATAACAACAACAACAATAATAACATTCCATTTCTTAAAGGCACAAATATTGCAAAAACAAATATTTAGGATTAGTCACCATAGCCTTTCATTTGCCCAGAAACATTCCATTCAGTTACATCCACACAATATCACAAGCAGGGAAATTTGACTGCTTTGTGGGTTTCTTGTTATGGTTGACTCTCTCACTTAAGAATCCTCTCCCTGTCTCTCCAAAGTAAACATGAAAAAAGTTCTGTTTCAAAGAGATAGTGTCATGCTAGGACAAATATTATCAATCACATTATTCAGAACCTTCTTGTCCTATTAACCAGAGTAAGGAGGAGCAAAAATATCAGAAATGTCAGTATTTCTTAATGCAGTGTGATGGAACAGAGTAATTAATATTTTATGTTAAAAATAATAATGATGATTGGAAATGTATGGAAAAATCTTAGATTGTACTATAAGCATATCCTTCAAGTCAAGCTTTTTATGGTATAACATGGAAAAAAATAATAAAAGATGTCATTTAAAAACTGTCACATAGAGGTAAAAGGCTAAATAACACAGAATGAGACTACAATTTTGAACATAACCAATGTGAAAACTGTTTTGCTTGAGTATTCATATTTGTTAAAGTTTTTTTGTTTCTCTTTTTTCCCCCAGAAGACAGGGAGGTGGGAGGGAGAGAAAAAAAGTATTTGTTAATTGGGAAAAATAATTTAACTTAAAAATCATTTATATATATATATAATATATATACATATATATATAATATATATATATATGTGTGTGTGTGTGTATATATATATATATACATACACACATATATAAATTATGTTATGATGTTATATTGTATTATATTTACTATATATATTACATAACATTTATAGCATGTTATACTATATTTTATCATTCATATCATATTGGCATGATATTATGCTGTTACATTGTATTGTATTAAATCATGTCATATAATATATGTAGGGGCAAGTAGGTGGTATAGTAGAGAGAGCGCTGGTGCTCAATTAGGAAGAACCGAGTTCAAATCCAGTCTCACACACTTACTAACTGTATGACCATGGACAAGTCACTTAAACTCTCTCTGCTAAATTTTCTCAACTGTAACACAGGGATAATATTAGCAACTAACTACCTTTCAGGATTGTTGTAAGAATCAAATGTAATAATATTTGTAAATACCTTAGCACAATGTCTGGCACATAGTAACCACTTTATATAAATGTTAGCTATTATCATCCTTAATTATATATGTAAGCTATTACTTAATTATAGTAATGGGATACAGAGATAATGTAGATCAAGAAGAATCATTTTAGTTGATAATTGTACCCTTCTAATGTCTATAACATTTCTAGTTGCTGCCTTATTTTAAGTTTTACCAAAACCCACTTTCACCAAACAAGCAGAAAACATGCTTAGTTTAAATTTATTTTCCTTGAATGTTTTTTCTTCCTATACTCAAGTGAGAGTGATAATCAGCAGGTCACTATTCAAAAGTCAAACAAGAGAGAGAGAAATGGAAGCAAAGTGCTTAAATGATACAGAGATTTATAACTGAGGTCTAGATAATTAAAACATGATTTTACTAAAGATGAGTGATATGTTGTCATTGAACAGATGAATGAAATCATACTGTTTTCTTTACATTGTCCAAATTGTATGCCCTGGGTGGAAGGTTTTATTACCTCTATCTTGCTGACTAGAATCTTGTTGAACAATTATGATATGCTTCTTGCTCAGTTCCCCACTGGATTTTCTCTAGCTGGTTACTGCTTCTTGACATAGTACTTCTGGGCCTATGTAGGTTTTTTTAATGCATTTTTTAAAGTACTGAAACTAAAAGAGAACAGATTTCAATTAGCTCTCAAGCAAAAGAAAAAAAAACAAGCCCCACATAATGGTGTCTTCCAAAATAAAAGAAAAATTTCTCAATATGTTATATTATAGAAAATGCTGAATGAAGAAAAATATATATTGTCATATCGATAACTATAGCTGAATGGAAGAACAAATCAATCAAAAGACATTTGTGAGGACAAGGATACAATAATTCAATCTATTCTTAAAGAATAAGAAAACATTTTTGAGGATTCTTGAGAAAGAGGGGATTCACTTTGAAAAAAAACCCATCAATTGACTAGATTATTTTTTCATTTTATAACCAGGAGTTTGGTTGTTAAGTAGATACAGTTCAAGAATCATAGGGGGAATATGAGGTGGATTTCTTCTCTATTGTATCTCCTGAAAGGAAATATTTTACAAATATGTAAAAAAGAGAAAGATTTATAGTCCTTTTCCTAAAAATCTTTCCTAAGGTTAAATTTATGTTCAATCTCAGAGAGAATCACTTTCCTGTAATAATCTAGGTAGCTACGGACAGACTTCAGCCTTTTTGTGAGAGTAGCATAGACAAAGGTCCAGGGTGCAAGGGAACCAATATTACCCATTAGAATGATATTTTTGAGTTTGCGTGGTTAAATGTTAATGCAAAATAATTATGAACATTATTATTATAATATAACATTAATATTAATATAATTGTATTCAACATCAACATATTAATATAGTTGTATTACATATTCATAATATATTTTTATATAAGTATATAATATTTATTATATTCTTGTATAATAATTATATAATATGAATTATTCATAAGTGGCATTAGATAATATACTAAAATTAATTTTCACAGGTTTAATGAACACTGATAATATAGATTTATCTGGGCAATGGGGATATTGATGTAATAGTTATATGATAATTTTAGTCTAAATGGATCCTTAGAAAAACACTATTAATCAGCTTTGCAATCCAACAATGCATTTCTTTAAATGGAGATTCACATTGCCTGAATTGAGTATAAGTTGAAGTACATATGCGGAATTTTGTCCCTTTTTTCACAAATAAAAAAATGCTTGTGAGTACTCAATCTACTAGATTTTTGTTTCAAATGACCATTTTTAGTGTCATTGATGAAAAAAATTACCTATAATAAGATATATCCAAAATGTGCCTTTCCACATCATCATTTTATATCTGTGCTTTGATAACTAAGTAAAAATAAATATAAATTTTATAACTAATAGCATAGCTTTCACTTCTAAACAACTGAAAGAACATTCATTGATGAAAACATCAATTAACAATTTTTTTCAATTCATGTTGAAATAATGAGCATTTTCTGCTATAGCAGGATTGTTCTTTAAAAATCAAATGTAAAGGTTACAATTAGTAATTGCTGGTAATTTTATGTTATAATTATTTGAAATTGATAAAAATCAATCAACATATTAAGTACCTGCTATGTACCAGTAACTGTGCTAAGCACTGGGTAGGAAAAATAGTGGGGAAAGACAGTCCTCACCATCAAAGTGCTTACAATCTAATGAAATGGTTGTCAATTGCTATTCTTACCAAATAGTATTCTTTCATATAGATTGTTTAGGAAACAAAATAATGCTATGCATTCAAGTTTCAATTTATTCCACTCCAATCCAACAAATATTCATTAAGTGCCTATTATGTACAAAACACTGTGGGAGGTGCTGAAAATAAAAACAAAAAGGAATAAAATGCAAAAAGAATTAGATCTTACAGGAGAGTAAGATTTAAGGCATTGTTCCTAACAAATCTATTTTTGATATTAACTAGCATTAGTAAAAATTTTGTGCGTGATACAAGTATATAAAGTTATAACGTCTACACACATTGCTTGTCAAGGCACATAAGATTTAAGGTGAATGGTTTCCAAGAATCATTGGTTATAGTTATGCACATCTTTCTTTTTTAGCGCCCCTCAAAAAATTTTAATTTTGTCTCTGACTACATCATGAAATTTGTGTTTCAAGTGGCAAGAGAATAATGATATCATTATAAATTTTATTTAATAGCCTTCTACATATTCTGGGGTGATCAAGAATACAAAATTATTGTAAAATTAGCCATAAAAACTACTATTTGATAAACAAAAAAAGTGGAGGGGGGCTGAAATAATTTCTCCAAAATGTATTGAAAGGAAAAATTGAATTAAATAATGATTTTTCATCAATAGCATAGTTTTTTTTAATTGAAGATTGGAGGTGAGTTTTCAGAAAAATTATTACATGAGCATGATTGAATTTTTCTATCCTCTGTACATATAGTTCAAAAAAGTTTAATTGTCATCATCTTCAGCAACCTGCATGTTCCCACAGTTAACTCTGATGCAATCATTTAGGATGCATCATTCAACATCTTCTTTCCTTCCAATTCAGTGCTGAATATAAGAGGAGAACTAAATATGTTCAGAAAAGTCTTAATCCAGAATGGAATCAGACAGTAATTTATAAAAATATCTCCATGGAACAGGTATGTAATAATTACATTTTATGATTCATATTCCATAAAGTACAGTGCTTTTCATTGCTATATGGCCAAGTACTTGATATCCAAGTAATCAAAATAATACAAATTTTATATATTGAGAATGTTTGATGTCTTAATTCTTCCTGGTTAAAGGTCATGGCTCTTTTGTTTACTCTTCTTGTGACAATGGGCAAACCTCTCTGAGCCTCTGCTTTCTTGTCTCCAAAAGCTGATAATAATACCTCTACTATTACCTAACAGGGCTTTTGCAAATAAAATATATTGTAAGACTTAAAGAAAAGATCTATAAAATGTGAATTTATATTTCATGTATTGACCAAAGAGCCCTAATACATACACATCAATAAACCCTTATCCCTACAATACACTGTATTACAATAATTGATATAAGCAGAAGCAAAGAGTAGTGAATAGAGGGAAGACCTCAGAATGACAAAGACTTGAGTTCAAGTCTTGCTTCTGACACATACTGGTTATATAACCCTGGGACAAATAACTTAAAATCTCAGTGCCCAAAGCAACTAGAACTATAATTTGCAGGTTAGTTGATGAGCTGTATTGGAACCCAAATTGAATCTCAGACTTGAAAGAAATTCAACAAAAGAATAATTGGTATTCATATTGAAGATTATTAGTCAAAAAAACAACTTATATTCAGTACCTTCAACTTCAGAAGGCAAAGAATGATAGGATATATATTTTATTAGCAATTAAAACAAAGCTTATCAATTTTTCTGTTTCCTAGACACATTTAGCAGTCTGGTGTATCTCTCTTCAGAATATTGTTTAAAAATGAATAAAATAGAATATATACATTACAAAGGAAATTGAAATAGAATTACTCAAAAAAATTAAGTTCATGAACCCCAGTTAAGAATGCTTAACTTAAAAAAATAAAATTCACTTATCTGAAAAATGATATTATGTTAAATACTTTCTATTCTAACCACGTAGGATAAATGAACTATATTTGTATCATCACTAGCATTCAAAATTACCCCTTGTTATGTTTTCTTTGTTGTTATTTTGCTCCAGTTGGCAAAAATATCATTTCTGAGATGGCAAACAAATAGCTATGGAATAAAATGAAAGAACCATAAAGAGGAAGCCAATGGGTGAAAGTTGCCCAAGGGATTGATTGTAGAGAGAATGCTGTACCAAAAAAATAAAGAGGGGAAATTGTCAAGCAGCATCACAAGAAAGGCCCTAGGCAATCTCTCTGGAGACAGCCAGGGATTTCCATTCGCCTCAGTGAAGAGAATAAAAATTCTGTGACCTCAATAGCTTGGTCCGCTTTTATTCTATCTTGAGGCCAAAATGTTTTGTAAAGTGACATATTTTGATTTTTATGATGTACTCCCAAGGGAAAAAAATGGGATTCGATATAGAAATATACCCTTTAGACATTTTTCAGAAACATGTCTTTCTTCAATAGGGTTTAGCCCTGCCTGTACACAGAAAGTAAAATGATTAAGATAAACAGTGTGCACTAGAGAACCAGCCTAGTTATCAGCCCAGGCTAGTGACTGTCTGAAAAGTTAGAGCAGGCTGTCTCTAGCCTGGATTTCCTGTTTGTCAGTTTAGAAAAATCTGCATTTCATAAAATTTGCATGAATACGAGACAATAATTGACAGTATACAACTTTAAATATAGGCAGAAAAAAATCCCTATTAATAGAACAGTAAGAGGATCATTGTGATATATAAAGAACAGATGTTCCAAGCAGTAGACATTTGCTGCATTTTACAGGGAGAAACTGAAAGCAATGCATCCCATGTAATTAGTTCTGCTCTAGTATCGGTCTCCTCCCCAAACTTATTAATTGTTATACTTTCAAAGTGGTAGTTGTGGGTTCCTAAGCTTGCTCATTTATGACAATAATAATAAATACTGAATTTTCATATAATTTAACATCACTATGTAGAAATCAGTTGCATCAGGAGCTCTTAACTTGGATTTTGCAAACTTTTAAAAATATTCTGATAAAAATTTTTCCATATGATCAATTTTTTTGAAATCCTAAATAACTTATTTTATTCATTAAAAATATTTGAGAAAGTGTCTATAGGTTTTTCCAAACTCACAAGAGTCCACGACACAAAAAGGGTTTAAAAGAAAAAAGAAAAAAACACTTGTTCTATACAGATTCCTTCCACCAAAATTGTGATACACAAGTTATATCTATCTTGAAAAAATAACCTTTTTTGTAAGATTTAAGTTATTGATTTTTTAAAATGAAGTACAATTCAACTTTGATGTCCTGATAAAAATTTAACTCCCATCTTTGATTCTTCATGTTAACTGTTTTGATTCTTCATGTTACTCAGAGGTCTACAGGAAAAAAAAAATCCACTACTTTGTTGAATAAAATGTTCTTCCTAAAGTAGGACTGATAATGTAAACAGGCTGATATTGCTATAAATTTCCCCTTTTCATGAATTCTTTTTTCTGTATCTAAACTTGTTTATGCTTGTCCAAATGAATGATTATATGCATATTTATGCACACATCTGAGAAACCTAAAGCTATTGATAACATCAAAATATTATTCTTCAGAAAGAAAAAAAAACAAGAAATAATAAAGCTTTTTTTTTAAGAATTGCAAGGGTTAGCTTTATGAAATATGATGGAAATTCAGATAGTTTCCAACAAAAGTAGGAAAATAAGCAAATGTTTCTTGTGGTTGAGCTGGGTGCTAAATTCAGGTCATTACCTGTCCTAAACAGTTTCTAGTAATGATGTTATCTCTGTATATGGTAACTATAGTTCATATATGCAGGTCCAGGAAATATCAGCATATTTCAATAAATAGAACTTATGTTCAAAATCCATCTCTGATATTTAGTGTCTGGCCTCAAGTTTTCTCCTTTGCAAAAGGAAGTGTTTTAACTAAATGGCCCCTGTGGTCCCTTCAAGCTCAGGATTTATTATCTCAGGATCCTATTATCCTATTGTCAAAAACTGAAAGTTTGTCTTTGAAGTAAAGCTAGTATTCCATTTAATAGACTCCTGATTACTCAGGAATATTTTTAGGTTTTAGAAATTCAAGTGAGATCCAAAAAATAAGCACTGCAAGTACTCTCTGAAGTAGGACAGTAAGACATATGTATACATACATACATATATTTTAGTTTGAAAATTCAGTGAAAGTTGAATTGAATTACAGATATTTCTTTAGAAAAACTTTTTTTAAATGTCAGTGGCAGTAATACAAATGTTTTGCATGCTCAACAATTTGACCTTCCTACTCAAACTCTAGACTCCCTTACAAAAGACATTGAACTTTAATGTATTGTCCAATATAAACCCATCTGGCTTGAGATGTAATTTTTCCAAGATCAAGGTTATTACAGAGAAATGAAAATTGCCTTCCTGTCATATTGCAAAGGCGTGCAAGCAAGTGGTAATAAATAGAGTCTGTTGTGTGGGTGAAATAAGAAGTGCATGATGGAAAATTGGGGTTAATTACATTTTGATTTAAACCATAGCTCAAGAAGAAAACACTGGAAGTGACAGTCTGGGATTATGATAGATTCTCTTCCAATGACTTTCTTGGTGAGGTAAGTTTCACTCTGTGCCCCTGTAAACAAAAGATTAATTCAGACTTTAGGATCAGTTTTCTGATGTAAGTGTGATGGTAAATGTGTTGTCCTTGTTCTATTTTTTTTAACATCTTTTAAGCAAACTGTTTTTTATGGTTTAATCCCTTAGATGATCATGATTTTTTCTATTTTATGTTAAACTTATGGGTTCACATGCTACTTTCACAGCAGCTGTAGAAATGGCTGTTTACTTTGATACATGGCATCTTGTTTTGTGAAGAAATTTCCCAAAATAAAATATTAATATAGAAAGGACTGTATACTCTAATGATGGAAATTCCATTTACATTTAATGATTACCTATAATTAATGTAGTAAAAATTTACTGCTGTCACTCTGAATCTTGTCAAGGTGAAAAAGTTACCCCGAGTTCTGAGGTGACTAGTTATGACAACTTCTTGCCAATGACTTTTGTGCAAGGACCAAATGGTTATGTTAGGGAAAGACCATAACCAAAAGGTTGGACACAAGGTGATGTTTTTTAAGCCTAGGCTATTTCAGGAATCTGTCTCATGAATCAAAAAGTGATAAGGAGCAATAAAAGGAATAAATGCACTAATAAAATCACAGCTCTTCTAAGTAGGGCCAAGGATAGAGCACTGGGCCTGGAATTAAGAAGACCTAAGTTCAGATATGGCCTCACTGTAATCCTAAAAGAAATCAACTTAATCTCTTTATGCCTCAATTTCTTTATCTGTAAAATGGGGTTAATAGCAACCACCTCACTGCGTTGTTGTGAAGATCAAATGAGTCAATAGTGGTAAAGTGCTTAGGACAATGCCTAGCACTTAGTGTTAATTACTGTTGTTGTCAATTTAATTATTGAAATAACATTTCACTTACAGTGCACTGAAAATTTACTGGACTTTTGAATAAATACTCTTGTTATTCTTTTTGTTAGGTTAAATGATAATCTACTCTGTTCATCTGACATAGTTTGACTTGAAAATTGAAAAACTTATTCTTGAATGAGCACACACAAAAGCAATGAATCAGAATAGTTTTAAGAAGGTAGACTGAGCACAAAGTGGAAATAACACTGACAAAAACAATAAGAAAGTTACTCCCAAAAAATATGTCCTAGATATTTTTATATTCAAAGGATATCCCAACTGGAGGTGACATGATTGGTGGGTGATGGAGGGCTGGGTTATCGAGATATTTAGAAGAGGGATGATATCAAAGGCACAGAGAAAATGAATCAATCAGCACACAAATGAATAAACTATTAAATCCCTACTGTATACTAGGCATCAGAGATCCAAAGCCTAAAGTGAAACTGCCTTCTCTCAAGGTGCCTAGATTCTAATTGGATTGATAACATGCACACATGTACATATATACAATACATGTGCAAAGCAGATAACAATTTGATCTAAGGGTTAGGGAAGAACTTAACATCTGGAGGTATCAAAAGTGCCATAACTGCTAGTCAAGCTAAGTCAAATAGGTAGAGTGGATGATTAATAAACCCAACCAGAAAAGATAATAATTAGTATTATTGCTAATAGGAAGGAGGTTTCATGTAGAAAGTGGTATGTGAGCTGAGTCTTGAAGAAAACAAGGGAATTCTTAGAAACAAAAGGCCAAAAGAGATATCTTACATGTGGTGAGGTCCTTCAGACGCTCCTATATGCTGATATTGTATGGATTGCATCAAGTCCCAAAATATTACAAATATTCCTAAATGAGATCTATAGTCACTCAAAAAAAATCACCACCTTAATGGAAAAAATCAGGAAAATCTGAGTGGATGAAAAATATGTGTTCATTCATTGCATATCACAGTTTGAACAACACAGTCAATCAATAGGCATTATTAAGCACTTAATATGTGCTAAGCACTGGAGATTCTGGGGTGGGGGGAGGGTAGCAAAATCAGTTGCTGACCTCAAAGAGCTCACATTTTAATAGGGAAGATGACATTCATGTAACTATGGATACAAGATATATTCAGTGTAAATAGAAGGTAATGTCAGAGAAAAGGCATTAGTAGCAAGAGGGACAAGGAATGTCCTCATGGAAACTCATGGAGCTCATCCATCATCTTAGACAGGCACTTTAATGAGACAATTAGCTAGGCCAAAAATTGAACAAGAGGAGGAAAAATTGCAGTTATTGCTTAAAAATGTCAAGCTTTTTGAAACAAAGACTTCTTTATTTAACACTGATGTTCATCTGGTAATGGTCTATGACAGTGTGTCATTTCACTGTCCTTCTTTGAAGAATTATAGTTGAGTATAACATAAAGAGGGCAGCTAGGTGACATAATGGATAGAGTGCCAGGCTTGGAGTCAACAAGACTAATCTTCCTGAGTTCAAATCTGCCTCAGACACTTAACTAGCTGTGAGATCCTGGATAAGTCACTTAACCCTGTTTTCTTCAGTTTCCTCACCTGTAAAATTAACTGGAGAAGGAAATGGCAAACCACTCCAGTATCTTTGCCAAGAAAACACCAAATGAGGTCACAAAGAGTTGGACGTGATCAAACCAAGTGAACAACAAATAACATAAATGGTGAAAGAGAAGGACAGAGAGAGAGAGAAATGATGGATATGAACAAGCTACAGAATGTTCCAAATGTGGAATTGTATGGAAGAAGTATAAAGGAGAGGTGTCAAACACATTGGCTGCATGCCACAGCATTCTCCACTTAGGCCTGAATCAGATTAAAATGTGATTGGGAAATACTTAACAAGATAAATAAAAATGCAAAAAAACACAGATTGCTTAAAAATGTCAAACTTTTTGAAACAAAGGCTTCTCTATTTAACACTGATGTTCATCTGGTAATAGTCTATGACAGTGTGTCAAAGTGCACAGGAATCTTTATTTATCATTTAGTGGTAAGCATTTCTGAGTTTGACACCACTGGTTTAAAGAATGTCACCAAGAAATGTATGACAAAAAAAGAATGGCTGAACATATATTAAGAAAACAGGACCACTGATGGATACCCTCCAGGTCCAGTTGGTATCCCAGCATTGTCGAAAGTACTAGAGTAAAATCCCTAAGGTATTTTATAAAATGCTTATGAGGCCTTATGGGAGAATGTGGACAAGAGGTGCATAGGATGGGTAGACATGGATCAGTTGGCATCTGCATCAATGATATATGAACATCCACATTAATGAAATTATGGATCCACTGCATTATTAGGAGAAACTAGAAGGAACAGAATAAATTAATGTTATTTTCTTTTTTTAAAAAAAAGTTATTCCCTAAGGAAATCTGAAATGCAGTAGACCCATTTCACCAATTTGGGGAGTTCTGATTGAAGAAGTTACATTTCCAAACCTTCTTGACAATTTACACTTTTAGGGAAGTACCTAGAGGTATTAAGCAACAGGGATTAAGTGACCTACACATAGCCAGAGGCCCAATATATTTCAAAGGCCAAATTTGAATGAACCTAGGTCCTCTGGACTTTTTGGCCAGTTCTTTATCTATTACATTACAATGACAGATTGACAGTCATATACATAGTAATGTATGGATGCACATGTTTTTATAAATATGCATGTATAGAAGACAGATCTACATATATGTGCACATGTATGTGTGTGTTCTATACAAATTATCATCTATTTCCACAGTAACTACAGTATACATTTGTTTTGGTTCACAAGGCTTTGGGCAGAAAACATGAGAAAATATTTGAAAATAATAAATATATCTGGGAATGGTAATATCCTTTTATTACACAACAGAGGGGAATAAAGTCTATCCAATGCATTTGACATTAAAGGATATAATGTGTTAACATGAAACTTATTTTATATAAATTACAAAATATAAGGAAATAAGAAATAAACCTATTCTAAAAATCATACATTTTCATGCATATAAATTAGATCATTATGAGATTTTCTGCATAGTTTATATGTAGAACACAATGTCAAATAATTATTTTAAATTAACTTTAAAAATCTATGCAATATACCAATAAAACCCATATTTCTATTAGAAATTTCCAATTTGAAAGGAACTCACTCTCTCTCTATATATATATATATATGTATGTATGTATATATATACATATATATGTATGTATATATACATATATATGTACACACATGTGTATATGTATATGCACGTACATATATAATGTAGGCATAGTCAAATATGTTTTGGCTTATACTTTTCAAAAAATGTTAGCTTAAAGACAGTAAACGATTCATAGCTTTATCATTGACTTTCTATTCTATCTTGTAGGTATTGATTGAATTATCTAGTACTTCTCACCTTGACAACACCCCTCATTGGTATCTTCTCAAAGAACAAACAGAAAGTATTGACCATGGGAAGTCCCATTCTAGTCAGAGCAGCCAACAGTCTCCAAAACCATCTGTCATCAAAAGCAGAAGTCATGGAATCTTCCCTGATCCATCCAAGGGTAGGAAACCTTTCAAGTAGAATACATTTTGCATATATTTATGCATGTCCATTTGTTGTTCTCTAAAATATGCATTTCTAATTATACAACATACTCCAGTGAGGCTATCATATTTTAATAGAATAATTTCTGAGTATACATATATTATAATGAATTTAGTTTAAGAGCCAAGTCTTTCTAGTTGACTAACCTACTCCATTTTTGAGGTTCATTGTCACATAAAAGTGTTCCTGAAATAGTTAACACATTTATTAGAACTAAACCCATGTTTATGACAGTTGGCTAATTAATTAAAATAATGTTCTTGATACTCCACTGTAGTTTTTTTTCATCCTCTTTGCTCACAGAAGAAATAAAAAATGAGGTTTTAGGAACTAGGGAAATTAATTATTCCTACCCATAAAAGTTTTGGTGGTAAATTATTGCCTAGAATGAGATTATTTGTAGATTCCAAATTATCATTCTACCCTCGCCCCTATTAACATTCAGTACATTACCTAGCCTCCGTCAGAGTTATATAAAAGAGGAATTTACCTTGAAAAATGATCTATTTTACCTCTGCTTTTTCGTAGAAGGGCGATCAGGTCATAGATAAAATTAGCTATCAATCTACTCCCTAAAATTGTTCGCTGAGTAATAGAAATCTCTACAATCTCCTTTGATGACATAACATTCTGTGTTGATGTGTCATAGTCTTTCACCACTCTAGATCAAGGACTTTATTCATAATGTCCAACTTAAAACCTTCCTTCAACATTGTAATCCTGTTGCCTCCTATAGCCTTACTAGAAATAGAGAGAGAATAGTTGCTTACTGGCATGTTGACTTTTATCCACTTGCACACTGTTTTGAAGTGTGTTGTCTAAAGTTTAAACACTCAAACTGACTGGAAATAAAGCCCGACAAGAAGAAAGGATTCTTAAAGCAAATATAGAGTTGATGTTTAATCCTTTTGTTCCCAGATATGCAGGTACCTACAATTGAGAAATCCCATAGTAGTCCCGGAAGCTCAAAATCATCCTCTGAAGGCCATCTTCGCTCTCATGGTCCATCACGCAGCCAAAGCAAGACCAGCGTCACTCAGACCCACCTTGAAGATGCAGGGGCCGCCATTGCAGCCGCAGAAGCAGCTGTGCAGCAGCTTCGCCTTCAACCAAGTAAAAGACGCAAATAAATTCCTCAGCATGGCAGCTTAATGTTTATCTGTTGCCTTTCTTTTCCTGCTGTCTCTTCCATTTGCTTTGTCATCTTGCTCCTCCAACCCCCTTGTCCCTGATCATTGTTTTCTGTTCCTTCATGTATGTTTAAAAACAATATAAGTACCTAATTCTACTCCTTTCTATTTAGTTTTTTATTTTTATTTTTAATAGATGGCAGTAAAACTGGCTGTTTCTCCATCCTTTCCATCATCCATCCAACATGGTTAATGGTGTTTGACATTTGTTAATGTGGCATTTTCAGGGGGGAAAATGTGTGTCATTTTCATGTTCTTAAATATCTCATATATCAGAACACGTTCATGAAACTGCAGATGGTGGCTAGTGTTCTGGGTATTACTCTGGGCATCCACACAAGCCAAGTAGAGCATATTATCAATGAGTTACTTCTGATATAATGAAAGAGTATGGTGCAGTGGGGGAAAAAATGCTGGATTTGAAGTCAAAGGTCTGGGTACATACAAAGCCCACCTTTAATGATGGCTATGTGACCTTGGGCAGGTCACTTGGCTTCTACAGTAGCCTCAGTTTTCTCAACTGTAAAATGAGGGTATTGGGTTAAGTGAACTCAGAAGTCCCTTCCAGCTCCAAAGCCTTTGATCTGCAAATCTGAGAACATGCAAAAAGGATATTCAGGAGACCAATGCAATTAATAGACTTAGAAGGACTTCAAACTTAAACACAAAGGAATAAAGAAGCTTCCAATCAATACTGAATTACACTAGTGAGTCAATCTCAATTGTATAAATGTAAGATATGATAGCTGTCTGTGTGCTAAACTGTCCAGTCTTTCAAAAAGTTTAGGAACGACAAACCTTTATTTTGGCCTAATAATGATATCAATCATTCTTATAATGAAAAATGGTAAGGCAACATAGTCTTTTCATTATGGAGCACAAATAATCTACCTTGTTGGATTTCATTTTCTGTAACATAAAATGATAGTATAGGGTGATTTTTGTTAGCTTTGTTCTTTCCTTGAAATTCAAAGTACCATTTGTTTAGCACGATAAATAGATTAAGGACTAATAGCCACTTATTCCCAACCACTGCACTCTATAATATAACTTGAATCTAAGCAAAATTGTCTAGTTTAAGGCATCAAAAATATTAATGTAACAACCAACTAAATGTGGCATCATCATGTTTGTTGGTGTACTGTTAGCTCCCAGAGGCATTCCGCAGAAAGTGGGAAAAGGTGGTTATTTTGCCTTTCCATCATAATTAAAGAAACAGCCAGTTTTAATCCCTTTTAGTGCTGTGCATGTGGTGTCTTTTTTGGCGTTCGAGCACACAACTTATTTAAAAGAAGAAAAAAAACACCCCACTTGTGTTTGCATGACTAACATTTAAGCTGGTTCCATCTGAGGATACATACTGTGGGTTTCCATTTCACTCACACTGCCACAGCAGCACATAAAAGCGGTCAGTCTAATCATACCAGGAAGCAGCACAGACACAGCATAGCAGGAGTCCTCCCAATTCAAAGAACTCAGTCTGACAATCTGCCTCCACCAGCCAATGACAACAAAGACCCAAGCCAGCTGGCTCTCAGGAAGGTGATGTCCGATGGACCAGTCAAGCCAGAAGGAGGTGAGCAGAAAGACGCTGCACACAACAAGAACCCACTCTCCCCCACTTTAAAGCGCCCCACCTTTGTTGTGTAGAGATTTGGTTTTAAACATCTTTGCCCTCTTCCTAGTGAGGTATTGTAGGCCTAGCGTAGCAGGATCACATCACCATTATATAAGTCCCAAGACCACTGTGCTGATATGTTGACAACAGTCATTTGTACTTTTCCACACATTAGGTCTCTTTGACTTTTGTTGGAAAAAAAAATAGGTCAACTTGTGTTCTTATTGCAGAATGAAATGCATGCAACTAACCTAATCTGTTCAAGCATGATTTGTTGCATTGTGACAAAGCTTGAATTGCTCACTACTACTAGCCTCCCCATTGGAACATAACTCGGTTATTCTTGCATACTATCTCAAGTGTTTTGCTTTTGGTTCAGTGGATTTTCAAGCCTCCTAGAGGAAAAAAAATGTTAATGCACTCACTCACATTTACATGGTGAAAGTTCTCTCTTGATACTACAAGCAGACATTTTCCACTCTTGTTTTGGTAGTTGTTAAGTGTACTATCAGATGTGTTGGGCATGTCAATATCTAAGTGCCTGTGTAATAAATAAAGTATCTTTATTTCATTCCTAAACTACTGGATTCTGAGCCATTGTTATACATACTGTATGTAGCATGGTATGAATGTGTCACTATTGGAAGGGGGTGGGATTGTCTTGGTTTGTTACAATAGAATACTTAATGAGGCTAGTCCATTGCTAATTTAGAATAGTAAAAGTAGAACAATACAGAAATTAGTTATAGGGAACTGGGCAAAATTCCTGCTTGGAAAGCTCTTCAACCCAGAAGGAAAGTGAATACAAAATAACCCAAGTAGATCTGGTAAAAAGAATGCATATCAATAATATGGTTTGAACTCCTTCAAGAAATTCCATTATTTTTTTCCCTTTCTTGCACATCTAGTGTGCTTCATATGCCCTTCAGACTGTTTCTTTAGTGGATGGTAAATACTTGTCACAAGCAACTTGCTTTGGAAAATGAGCTACAACTGTTCTTAGATATCCTGGGCTTAGTAGGAAAATTGGGAGGACTCCTTATCCTCTCTTATCTCAGCAGACTACTATTCTTAGGACAGAGTTTTGTGGGTAGATAACAGGATTTCTCTTTGCAAATTATTTTCTAAGTTCATTCAAAGTTAAATGTGGGAAAAACTATATTACTTTGAGAGTGTTCCAGTACTGACCTTTATAATCAGATTCAAGAAATATGTATCCCAACATATCTAAGCCTCACATTCCCTAGTTCTACCTCTCCGCACCCCTAAGCCCCTGAAATTTTAAGTACACAACAACCAGTTCTACTACACAGCCATAATAAATAATAAAAATAATAACAATATTAAATAATTCAGGATAGGCAAGAGGGGAGATTTTCCTGTTTTTACCAGATGGTTAAGAGAGAAACAAACAAGAGGCCTGGAATTTTTCAGGTGGTATACTTATGGTACACATCATAAGAGACTGTCACCTCACCTCACTTTTCATTTTCCATTGTTACCATCACAGGGTTACCCTTCCCCTCCAAAGGATTTAGCAGTGCTCATGATAAATTCATTGACTTCTCTGAGTCAAGACACACAATTCCAAAGAATAGTTTATGTATTGCTCCCTAAATTTACCCTCCATTTCAGATTGTTGCAATTTGTTTTTGAATGTAGTATATGGTGTCTGATAGAAGTTTTCCTAAAGTGGTGATAGAGACCATGAGCAATGTTCCTTGAGTTGTCTTCCTTTGAATAATGTTCCAACAAGCCCACAAAAAGTTAAATCTCCATTCAGCTGGATATTTGAGGATCTTTATTATCATCTCTTTATTATCATCATCTTCAAGAACCCATGATCATCTTCAGGATATAACAGAGCATTGGAATCAGAATTTAGTGGAGGAATGTTCTTCTAAGATGCAATAACAACAAAGAGAAATATCTTTTTGCAAAAGAGAGGCAGAGACACATATATAAACTGTCATCTGTGGATTTCCTGCTATTAAGAAGGAACCAAGAAAATACTTAAATCATTTCCACCCAAAAAAATTAAAAAAAAAACCACACATAGATAACACACACTTCTGGATTTCTGTATTAAAACATAGCATTTGTTTGCATAGAGATAAGATAACTGGTAAGAATTTAAGTACAAGAAGGATAAGCTGCTTGTGGTTAATGAATAGCAGAGGCAGGATATTATTTATCATTTTTAGAGGGCTTGAATTCAATTCTTTGATTGCTTCTCAAATCAAAGAATGCAAACAAAATTCTCAGCATTTAGTTCCTACAACCCAAAGTTCTAAAATTAAGCTATTCCTATTAGTTACTGCAAACCAAAATTCTGAAAATAAGCTATGTAAGTAGAACTAATAGAGGGATGCAGCTGTAAAAATCTGATCTAATCACCCGATTCTAGTCCTTGGATTTTAGTAGTAATTGCTTGGTCAGAAATCAGTGGAGGAAGTAGCATAGCCCAATCTCTCTTGCCAAACCCATTTCCACAATTCATATAATAAACAAGGGGCTGTGCCGCTGTGGTGCACAAGTACCAGGAGTAGGATAATGCTCACTAAGGAGACAGGCAGCCATTTTCTCGTGTTTGCCAGAAGCACAGTGCTTGCACTGCATGGGCACATTAAGCCATACCATTCTATTACCTAAACTATTTTCTGCTAGAATATTAGACAATCTTAAAAGCTATGTCAAGCCTTTAGGGTGTAGAAGGTCTCTGCTTGCACATGAGCAGAGTTTGAAATGGTGAAAACCTGAAAACAGCCTATATCTAAGAGAAATATGGATTATACCAAATTAAGCAAGCCTGCTTAATTCTGAAAGAATTGTGTGTTCTCCTTCTAAAGCTACAAGTTTAGAAACAGAGACAAAATTATGCAATAATGTAGCAGACAGTGGGCAGTCATTCATACCTACCCAACTTCCCTAAGAAACTAAAAATAGCACTGAGAACAGATTTGGGGGCCCAGAGTTGGTTAAGAGAATAAGAAATAGTATCCTTTTGCAAGTTCTTCCATTTATTGCCATCTCATAAAAGAAAGCTTAGGAATTTGCAGTTGCTTTCCCAAACTACTCCTGGGTCTTCAGCTTTTCAAGAACTGTCTATGTCGGTAGAGGAGAAAGTGGTGGCACCATTGAAAAAACCCAGAGCCCCATGTCCTCCTGAGCAATGAAGGAGTGATGACAATAGCTACATAGAGCACAAGAAGTGATTCCAGGGCAAATTATTTGAGGGGGAAGTGTACTTTAGAAATCTCAGAGTGAGTTAATCAATGTAAAATTTGCTCTGTCATAGTATAACGAATGTTTCTGACAAAATTGAAAAGAAGCAGGCAGGGAAGAGGAGGGAAGTTTTCAAATGGGTGAGAAAAATGTTAAAAGCAAAAATGGAGGGAGGACAAACCTTCAGAAAAAAATATACATGAACCAAACTAGTTAATTTCAGTACTCAAAAGTTTTTCTGCCTATCTTTCTTGGCATGGGCTTTTCTGTACTTACTGTGAAAATCAAAATGCTTTTCTAAATATTCATTATTTCTTTCTCTTTTCATTTAATAAATCTCTACAGTTTTTAGCTCTCCATTTTGTTGAGTCAGACCTTAGCTCACTAGAAATGCTTCTACTTTTTGTATTATTCACAAATTTCTGAATATTTGACATACTAATTAAAATAAATTTGAAGTCTTAGCAATGCTTTGGAAGGAAAAAAAAAGATGACCAAACAACAAACTGACAAGTTATTGTTCTCTTTTTTCTCCAAGTAGTTGAAAAATCATTTGCTCATTTTTAATTTCTGTATTATTCATCATCTACAGTCAAAACTCTCCTAGGTATGTATGTGTGTATAATAACATTACAGTTTAACACTGGGGGCAGGGGGGTGTATGTATATGTATGAATACTACCAATAGATTGTGCTCTGTACTTCACCTATGAATGTCATTACTGAAAGAACATCAATGGTGCAAGTGAAATATTTGCCATTAATCACAATAGATCTTCAATGATCAATCAATACTCTCTTGGGCACTTTTGTAACTAAAGATAAAAAGGTAAAATGGGACTTAGTGGTACATTACAAAGTGATGGAGATCAGGACCATCTAATTCATATGGAGGTCAAACCCGTGACCTTGGCTTCACTAACACTACACTTTAACCAACTGAGCTAACAAATATTAGGCTAAGAGTATATTGAAGGGGCAATCCATAAGTGCGGGTAATTGAAGAGAGAGGCTACCTCTACTGTATTATAGGAGGAACCCAGATAGCCCCATCCAACCAAACTATCTTCCCTAGTGGCCTGCCAATGTCATTGCAATTTCTATATTTATAGTAATTCCTTTAATTTAAGACATTGTGTAGGATCCCCCCAGCAAAAATAAAAATATTTAATTTTGGGAATAGTTTACTTAGTGGAAAGTAACTGATGTTAATAGCCATTAAATACCATCAGAAATGTGATATGGATTCACCTTCAGAATAACTAATACAGTTGGATCATTATAGGCAATACAGATTTGCATTGATAAGAGAAGGGAATTGCAGAAAGTCTAGTTCATGAGTAGGATGGGTGGAATGACTCATTTACAGAAATGAGAACAGGGAGAGAGAGAGGAAGATGTGCTAGCCCTGCATATGGAAGTGCATAAATGTATACTAAGTTTTGACTATAGCAAATAATGATTTTCTTATTTCAAAGCACCTGAATTATTTAGGAGTTACAGTTTTCAACCAGACGTTTAACTTTGCATAAATACATTATGCATTGTCTATTGAGATATACAGTTTGATAAGAAGATAACAGATTTAAATAGTAATGGGAGGTACATTATGAGTAGGTTATAAAGCCAAATGGCTTATGAGGTGACATTTGATTTTGGCAATTTTTTGTAATGATAATTTTTAAAACAAGAATACATTCAATTATTTAAAGAGTTCAAAATCCTTACAGATT